CATTGAGATATGTTCTTTTATTAAAAAAGACTTAAATTGTCTTTTTTAGCAAATCAAAAAAGAAAAAGAATAATTATGCATTAACGCGTAATGGTGATTCACTTAGTAGACGAGATTTTCTTTGTTTTCTTCGTGCATGAATTTTACTTGATAAATCTAGTGCAAATAATTTTGGTCCTCTACCTTTACCTACATATCCATCCATATTAACTGGTTCGAATTCTTCAAATGTTGTCATATCAAAATTAATTTTACCCTTTTCTATTGTAAAACTAGTTTGTTTAAAACGAAAACCCCAAAGAATTTCTCGTGGTTTATAACTAGTTCGATATTGACATGCATCACCAGTTGTTTCCATTGTTCCTTCAATAATAACAACAATTTCAAATGCATCTGGTCCATTACCTTCTGAATTATAAAGTTTTGTTGGTGATATAGGATAAAGTGGTGATGATTCATCGATTCTATGTTCAATAACCAATGGACATAATAACATCAAATTTGTATTTGAAGGATATACAGGCATATCAAAATTTTCAATTGGTACAATTTCACCTGATGATTTTGGTTGTAATTTATAATAAATAACTCGAATAGCAGCACGTGTTAATTGAGTAACAATATTATTTCCTAAAGAGAAAAAAAAATATAAAAAAATGGTTTTCTTTTAAATTTAAATAAATTAAGAAACATCTATAACATACCAACTTTAAACATAAAACATAAATGTCCATCACGTGGTGCAACAACTGCTCGTTCACTAAATGTTAATACTTTCATTCGTTGTTTTGGTCTTGCTAATTTATTAAAAACAATACCACCAACATAAATTGTTATTAAAGCACCACTACATGATTGAATCATTAATAAAATAACTCCTGCTTTACATTCATCATTAACATGTCTATATCCATAACCAATTGTATGTTGTGTTTCTAATGAAAAAAGAAAAAAAGCTAAAAAACTATTTCCAACATTAACAAGACATGGACGATGATTGGTATTTGGACGTAGATGATCAGGTAAAAAATCTCCATTAAAAAACGCAAGTATATACCAAACAAGAGCAAAAAATGTCCAACTAACTAAAAATACTGCTACTATTAATGATAATACAGATATCCATTTAGCTGAAATTAAATTTGAATACCAATCTGCACATGTTCGACTCCAAACAAAAGGTCGATGTCGAATAAAAAAATCAACACGACCTGATTTACATACAAGTCTATCCGGTTCCCATAAACCTTTTGAAGTAAAAAGCGAAGCCATTATAAACAGTTATACAAACTGTCACTGCATCATATGGTGATGTCATTTTTTTTTCCTTGTACACTCTTTTCATCGACAAATCATTCATGCATAAAAAATATCATGTGCTCACCAATACAAAGACTTATTTATTATTAATTTATAAGAAAAAAGAAAATTACATGTATCTGTATATCATAGTCCTTGAAATTCTAGTTCATTATACATTTGTATAATAGAACAACACGGACAAAAACACATTGCACATGTGTCACCACACACTTGTCCCTAGAAAAAAAAATTTAAAATACTAAATTATTTATATTTTAAAACGATTTCATTTATTTTTTTTATACTTGTATTCGAAAACCGGTTCGAATTTTTGTTCTCAATCCAGAATTGGCTATAAACAAAGATAAACTAGAAAATTTTTATTTATCAAAACTCAACTATCTTACCTCCCGGTAAACATCCAGTACATAAACATTCATTAGTTCGTGCATGTAATTTACATAAAAAGCATGGACAACACCAATAAGCAAAGCAACCTAAGCAAAAAAATCACTAATTTCACTATTTATTTTTCTCGTTCATACAAGTTCCAAGATCAGAACAACAACCACATATTCCATTACTCCATTCATTTTCAAATGTCCAAACATTTCCAGTTGGTTGTGTTCGTATTGTTCTAAAGAAAATAAATCAATATAAATAATCATTTAATTCTCAATTATTAACAAAATTTTCTCTTACACCATTAATGATAATATATGCTTTTAAAAAAATTTTCAATATAAGCTTAGACTTGAAAGAATTCTTGATGTTTTAAATTAGTTGTTGTTGCGTGCAATTGTTGCTGTGACACAATTTACTCAAACAGTTACTGCCATTACATTACCTGTGTAGGCGATAAAAAAACAAGTGAAATAGCTTTAATGCATTAAAATAAAGAATTCGATAGACGAAAAAAAAGAGCGATTTTTGCATACGTACAAAACGAAGTATGTTTACTAAATAATCAGTGAAGCAAGTGCTGCTACACTCGTTTTTATTCTGTTCGTTCATGTGTGTTTTACTAAACAAAAGTATGAAAGAAAAGAAATTCTTTCTTATGGATAATTAAAACGAAATTCACATTGATTAACATATTTTGCAACGATTTGAAAAAGTGAGCAAAACATAAAATAAAATTTGTTCTTGATTTAAATTTTCATAAGGACAATTTCAATTTTTTTTTCTTCTCAAAAATCATGATAAATGAGTCATTGAAATCATTCGAGATCTATTATCTAATTCATATACTAATATTAACTATGAAATATCAGTTCTTCTAAGCATCTATAGTTTAAACTTTATGTATTCATAAGATAGAAAGTTTAATTATAGTTGAAAATTCAAATTCATACGATAGATAGAGTTGTAACCTTTTCTTTTTAAATAAAAATCGAATTTTTAAGTTGTCATTCTTATGTAAATATCTTTAGTGAACTATCGACAGAAATACTAATACGTATTAGAAGTATTTCTATCAAGTTTCGTAATTCAATCATTTTCAATTTTTTTCAACCAATAATATATTAAGCAATTTCAAACGAAGAAATTCATGTTTCTAAATGTAATTCGTTTCAACATATTCGAATTTGAGGAACATTTGTAATTTCTCGTTTTTCATTTGAAAATATGTATAATAAAGTTATTAGAAAAATTTTATTACACGTCACTGACATTATAAGAATAGAATTACATAATTGCACTTTCGTAAAATATATCTCGTGAATGGATCAAAAACTGTATCAGAACTTGACAGAATACTTCAACATTATTATTGTGATTGATTAACGTCATTAATATTCGATGATTTCTGATCATTAGCTGTTAACGTATATCAAACTTGATTGATTTCTGAATTATGCCTATCTTCTATAATGCTTTAATGTTAGCTTTAGTCTACTTATATTTTCTATTATATAAGGAATTGATCTGCATATTTTAATTGTTAAAATAAATATGCGAAACTATTCTAAATAAGATTAAACTTTGAAAAGAAATAGTTCAATTGTATACTTGATAGAAGAGAAACGTCAAAAATTTCTTCTGCATGAATTATTTCAAAATTTCTTTTTCATGATAGATGAAAATGATTTATGAAATATTATTTCATTTTTACTTTCATCGATTAAAGAAATTAAAAAGTCTAGTATTGATTCGATGATGACCAACTATTGTTCAAGTAGTTGCACTTGAAATTTATTGATTTATTGTCAATACTGAATGATAATTTTGTTTTTTTGTAAATAATGTTGAACATTTTCTCGTCTAAATAAAGGCTTTTCATTGAACATGAGCAATAAAAATGATATGTTCAATGATTATCCTCGTATTCATCTTATTCTCTTTTTCTTAATCTATCATTTTCATCAACATTGCCAAGTGATAACATGAGCTCATTTGTCCTTTTACTCGCTCTTTATACAAATGTGTGCATACGCGCATATGCACATTGAACTCAGCTTTTACTTGATATATTCTTGTTGCGGTATTAAATGCGAAGGTGAATAATCAAATGCATAGTACGATTGCCGACAAAGGCCAAATGAAATTCTTTCATATCATGAAATAAAAGAAGCCGTATCATAAGCATTCTTTTTTTTGTGTTCGAAAAGGTGTCGAACTCCATTCGCAAGGCAATTATTATCATTCTACAATCTATCAAAAGGATAATGGTCAGAATGAGAGAAAAAGAAAAAGAAAGAAGTACCAACAAATAATGTCCATAGGGCAAAAGGATAGAAAAAAGAAGAAGAAGAACTCTAATCACTTCCAATACAAGAGGAAAAAATAAGAGAAGTCGTGAGTAAATAGCATAGTAAAGAGAAAGTGTACATTATGTTCAATGGATGAGGTGCACTCGTTTTTATATGTATGTAGATCTAATTTTGAATACATATACTAACGCACTCTTGTGTGCATAAAGATAGACATACACGAATAATAAAAAAAAATCCAAAGACTATCACTTTCTGATTGAATTGTTTAATAAGAAAAACAATGCAAGTTATTATTTTACCAAGATCAATACTTCATACAAATCAATTTCATCCGACTTCAGTGAGTTTATTTATTCGCTGTTTACTGATCAAAATCTTGACGATGTGTTATAACCAGATGTATGAGCAGCATATAAATGTAGTTATATAACTTGAGCCCCCCTTGGCCTTCTCGTTTTTTTTTTCTTCTCGCTTGTCTTGCATTTATTCTCTCATATTGATAAATTCATTTGATCACCATTCATGTGGCCCATCATGCAGAACAAAATTTCATCGAGAGTAAGTTGATATCAACTAAATATAAACTAGAATCTATTAAAATTAAAGTAATGTCAGTTTCCTTCTTCTAGATCAATTTGTTTTATTTTTACCTTTTTCTATTAATTTTAATTATTAATTGAATAGACATATTCTTCCTTTTTTTTTGTTTTAACCTAGAAACTACATGTAGTTAAATAGATATAAAACAAAGAAAAGAAAAGGCTGTATTACTTATTCTTCTCGTTATTTTTTCTCATTTTACACGAGTGTCAGTATGCAGATGAGAACACCCTTAGTATCGAACAAAGAAAAGAAAAAGACATTTGGTTGTCGTCGTCATCATCGAGTTTTTTTTATTATAATGCGGTTTTAGTTTTTTACCTTTATTTCTAACATACTCATAGGTATATAGCAGGGGGAAAAAAAGAAAGATAGCTAAGTATGGCAGAGGAAAATGAGGATGAACAGTTTGATCCTGTAAGTGAATCTTTCTTTTTATTAGAAATCATTTGTAATATATTATTTGTTTCTAGCGCAGTTTATTAAATGATAGAGATGATCAAAAAGTTCATTTATTTATCAAAGGTAAAAAAGAAAAGAATTGAATAGTTTCATATTACTATTATTATTATTATTCTTAACTTTTTTTTCTTTCTAGCTGGTCGAGATGGTCGATCAAAAGGTGCATGTCCATTTTGTCATGATGTATTTCTTAAATTATTAATAAAATGTGAAATTGAAAATGATTTTAATTTTGATGTCATAACAATAAATTGTAAAAATCCACCAAAAGAATTTAAAGAAATATCAAAAAAATTACCAACACTTATACATGGTGATATTGTTTTAAATAATATTGATGATATTGAAGATTATCTTGATTCATCATTTACAAATTATAAATTATCAAGTCAAGATCCTGAAGCTTTTAAAGTTCAATCAAATGTTTTTACACGTTTTACTTATTTAATTAAAGATGTAACAAATAATCCACAATTATTATTAGATGAATTAGAAAAAATTAATACATTTCTTCGACGACGAGAAACAAAATATATGTGTGGAAATGAAATAACAGGTCTTGATTGTTCATTATGGCCAAAATTACAACATATTCGTGTTGCTGCTGATTATCTTCTTCATTTATCAATTCCAATTGAATTTTCATCATTATGGCGTTATCTTGGTTCAGCTTATGAACATGACGCTTTTGTTAAATCTTGTCCATCAGATCAAGAAATTGTTCTACATTGGATACGTCATGAAACATCACCAAAAGAATATTTACAATTAACAAAAGAAGAACCAAAATATTCTCTTGATATACCTCTAACAGTTTATAATCATTTTCATTAATATACTTTCTTTTCTTTTCTTTTCTTTTTTTTTTTTTGTTTTTCAAATGTTATTGTATTTGTATTATGCGTGATTTTTCGTTTATGATTTTATTTTCTACTCATTCGAGAAGAAATAAGAATAGAGATGTGCCATGTTGGTCGTGCTACTATAATTTCCTCTGTATGCAGTGCAATTGTCTATTGTTTATTTCTTTTTTTTTTTTTGCTGTATTTCAAATAATAAAAAATTTAATTTTAGTCTTATTGAAATGATTAAATCTGATCGAAACTTAAAATTTTATTTAAAATGACTTTGAATCAATACATTTGTTTTTCAATAAAAAAAAATCGAAAATGAATCAATTACAAATGAATACGAGTATTTCTAATGACTTTCATCTAAAAATTATCAAGTCACTAAGGAAATGGATATCAAACCTTATGATTTCTTCAGGAGAATTCTAGTTTTTGAGCATTTTTCTTAGTATTAGCAGATGTTTTCTAAAATGTTTTCTTGATTTTTTTTTTTCATCTCAACTGTGACAAGACAATATTTGAAATTGATTAATTGCTTTTAAGTTCGGACTCAATGCATCAGGTAGAATCCAATGAGATATAAAAATACCTCAAAAGAATAATTTCTGTAGGCTTTTTGTCCAAAGTTCTAGGCATTTTATGAGAGCTTCAATCTCTAGAATTATAAATACGAATATCTCAAAACAATATTTTCTTCCTCAAGTATTAAAGCCTGAAAAAAAAAACAAGAAAATGCTAATATCTTTCATGTAACATAAGTGATTTTTCGGACTCCAAATCTCGAACAGGAAATATTTAGGACATTATATTAACAAATAGATATGTCTATTGACAAAATCTCAGATTGAAATATCATCATTTGAACTGATGGTATGTACCATGTGAGACACTAAAATTCCAGTAAAATGACTATAATTCTGGTAAAAAAACGACTGATGAATTGAAAACGTTTCCTTGTTAACGACATGTTGAACCAACAAGAAAAACAATCTAATATCATCACATGATCTTAGGTTTCACAAAGAATAGAAGAAACACCCGTTAATCAGATGCAACCAGTGGTGAGCTCATATTCTAAATGGTAAAAGTGCACTCATGAAGAATGAACAGATCAGTGCTGATTTAAAAATTAATGCAAAGACTTATATCAATTATGCAGACTTCTATGAATATCTCTTACATAAAGCAGATTTATTGAAACAAATCTGGTCATTAAAAATAACTTTTATGCTGCAAAAGTGCTACGCACATGATAGTATATCACGTATTGTTATTTTGTTTGTATATTCTCATCAACATATATGAAAAAATTAATAACAGAAAATATGTGTGATCATATTTCTTTTTTCAATATCATTTGTCGGCAGATTTTACTATTATTACTTTATTAGAAAAATGGAACAAGAGCTACTGCGAACGAAAATACCACGAAATGTTTTCTGACCTTTTTTTCGTAGAGATCTCCTAATTTCAAAAACATCGATTTGATAATGCGACTCTCATGTCAATGATTGCGGACATATTGAATATTAATTTCACTGGTTCACGTTCGTTTTTTTTTCTTTATATATAATCATTCAGATTAAACATCCATCATATAGTATCGTCATGAGAAATGTTTTTTTATTTTATCGTCAGTTGTTATCATATCTAATTAGTCGAATAAGAAAAACATGATTTGATTAATTATTTCCTCAGACTGACAATCTATTGTGTTTATGTCGTATATATATATATAACGTCGAATAGTTGTGATCATCGACAAAAGAATGACAACATCAATAGATCCAAGTGTAGATGAATTATTATTATTACAAGAAAATCAATATCCTATGCCAAATTTTGTTTTTGCAAATCTTAAACCGATCGGAGTAAGTAAAAACATAATCGAACATAATAAAAAAAAGAAATAAACAACATATTTTCTGTTTCATTTGATAATTTAGGCAGAACGTAAGATTGGACAACCCTCACATGCATCAACTCAATCTATATCTCAAACAAAATCATCACTATTATCATTACAACAAATGAATATGGATTTTATTTCAAGAGATATAGATGAAAATAACAATGCTTTTGAGGTGTGTTTCTGAAATAGAAAGAAAAAAAAAAAAGAATTAAAATTTAGTGATCTATCTAGATCCCATCATTTAATTCATCTATTAAACCATCAACAATGTCTATATTTGATAATTTTCATTTATCTTCAATTGATGAATCAATAATTCATGAAACAAATAATAATTTGGAAATCTTAAATTATCATCCATTATATAATCATTCATTAAGTTCAACATCATCAACAAATGATAATTCATCAATACATTTACTCAACAATTATAATTATCAACGGCCAATATCATCATCATCATCATCGATTGTCCAACGAAAACTTAATCAATCAATTGCAAGTCAAATACAAACAGGTTCAAAGCAAAATTTTGAAAACATTAATTTTCTTTTTTTTTTTCATTTTTTAGAAAAAACAATACCATCATTTCGTGTTCCACAAACTTATCCATCTAATCAATTCTTTATTCCAAATTCATGTCTACCATATTCTAGGAATTCATTTATTAATGTATATCAAAAACCACGACCTGTATTCAGTACTCCATTTCAATGTACACGAGAACGTTTTCAAGTTAATTCAATAGGTCGTCCGATATTACGTGCTAATAATTATATACGTTTATCACAAGCAACTGGTTTTAAAGTTCGACGATAAGAATGATCGATATTTTTTTTTTTTTATGTGATATATATATGTGTCAATCAAGGCTTTTTCTTTCATTTTTTTGGTTATTCAAGTGATTTCATCCAGTAAATCTTCTATGATTATGTATATTTACTCAATTAATTCTCTTATTATTTAATCGATTATATGTTTTTCTTTTATTTTATTGTCGAAATATTCTTTAATGTAATGTATTATAGAATGATTCACTGAAAAAAAGAGAACGATTGTGATCAAAAGTTTTTTGATGAAAAAACATATACATATATATATATAAATAAAGCAAATTAGACAAAATAGAAAGCATTAGTTTATAAAAGTAATGGTGGAATAGAATCACATGCATGAGTATCATTTTCTCGTGCTCTTATGAAACTGCATAAAAGTCCTCGACGACAATTATGATCACATTGGTTTCCATTAGCATATGATTTTGTATAATATTGATAAACTAAACTCATTATTGAACCATCTAAATCATTTTGTAGTCTTTGTACAAGATTATGCCAATCATTAGGAAATAAATATTCCATTTGATATGCATCACGAGCATCATATTCATCAATAAAAATTGTTTTATTATATATATTCGATGCAGTTAAATTCATAATTACTGTACGATGATCAAGTACCCAATAAGAACTTCCAGGATATTCACCATCAATTGAATAGATTCGATAACCGGGATTTAAATACGAACTTGTTGTCAACGATGGTCCCATATAAGCCTGAAACCATATTAAAAACTATTATGAGTTATTTGATATAAAAGATGAAAAAAATCAAACCATCGATACAGGACGTTTCTGATCTTCTTCATCGTAAAACATTAAAAATTCATCATAATGTGTATGTCCATAAAATTGACCAGCTATTGTATTTTCATATCTAAATCGACAGAGATTTCTATAGATAATATGAGATCATTTTTCATGTCAATAGAGATTTCACAAAGCCATCAGTCAATCGACCTTCTGAGAATTGATGAGCCGAAAAAAAGGCGAAAATTTCTCAAGATTAGAGATGACCCTACGTACAAACTCCTGAATATCTAACCTATTAACAATCTTATAAAAATTCCATCCAAATGATGCTAAACAAGATCGTGGTGGATGATGTCCAATAATATGTACTTTTTCTTCATGATCTTCAGCATATTGTAACCATTGAATTAACTAAACAGTGATTTTTCATGACTATATTTTCATGGTTATAAAACTTACCCATTGTAGTTGACCAAGTGGATCAGTCGTATTAATAAGCACCCAAAAATTTTCTCTCGAACAATAATTCATATTGAGTGAGATCAATCTTAAACCAGGTCTCACTAATGTTGTATAAAAAGCTCCACGTTCGATACTATCACGTGTAT